TACATAATGTAAAGTAATATTTCAAGAGGGACTGGACTTCATTCTGATTTTGATTGTCCACCCAAACACTGGCATTATTTCAAACCCATTAAGAAGAAAATAGGTATATTGATTCAGAATTTAATTAAATAAAATAAAAAAATAAAATATGATAATTTTAAAATAAAAAAATAATTATCTTTTCTTTCAATTTCTTTTTACCTCTTTTCTTTTCTTAATTTTTTATTTGAACTATTTTTAATTTAAATCATTTCTTTAAAATAATTAAATTTAAATATAATGATTAAAATAAAATTTCATAAGGAATTAATTTGATTAAAAAATAACAAAAAACCATTTATTTTTATCATATTTAAAACTAAATTAAGTAGTTTTAAATATCATAAATAAAAACCACATCCATTTATATTCTCATTATAATAGAACTTTTAAAAAAAAACATTTTAAATGATTAAATATAAATTTTATTTAATGGGTTTAATAAAAAAATATTAAATCATTTTAAAGTAATTACAACTTTTTAACTTGAAAATTTAGAATATTGGAACAAATTGCCCTCATACCCAGTAAATTGGTTGATCTAAGTTTTTGACAAACAAACACTTTTTTAAAAAGAAATATTTTATAAAGTTTGATCAATAGTATTGGGTTTTTTTTTATTTGGATTTAGTTTTCTTTCTCTTAAACCACAAGCATTACAAACATATTCTTTTTGAGAATTGGGTCCAATAATAGTTCTCCATTCAGAGGTGCTTTTTGATTTGCAAATAAAGCATTCATTGGGTCTATTTTTAATTTTAAAATTTATAATTTTAATATTTTATCTTTTTAAAAATTATATTAATATAATAAATAATATACCTTATTTTTTTAGGTCGACCTCTTTTTTTAGATTCCACCAATGGATGAGGTGAATTGCTTATATACATATCAAATGTTTGATTATGATTTGGAATTGATAAATAATTCTCTTTTATTTCATAGGTAGGGTAATAGTTATTTTCATTATAAAAATTATAATTAATATTTTTATTGTTTGTATTATGAATAAAATTGGGGTTTAAAAATAAGTTATTATTTATATTATGGTTGTAATTCAATAAAAATTCTATTCTGTTCTTTTTTTCCATTTTGGTTAAATTAAACAAAATAATTAAGTTCTTTAAAATATAAATAGATAAAAATTTTAATATAATATAAATAAACTATACCAGAATTTAAAAGAAGATAACTATTAATTGAAGGGGAAGTTATGAATTTAATAAAAAATTATTTAAAGATTAATTTTTTTTTTATTGATTTTATTTAATGGTTTAAAAATGAAAAAGATTGAAAGTTAATTTTATTGAGTGGTAATAAAATAAATTCCATTACTGAAATGGGAGACAGAGTTTTTATCGTCAATACTATTTAAAGCGTTTAAATTGATATTATTAGTTTGTGGATTATTATTATAATTTAAATTATTATTATTATTGTTATGAATATTATTTTTCATATTATTATTTAATATGTTATAGACATGATCGTATTGAATTTTTGAAACAAGATCCATATAGTTTTTTAAATTATTTGGATTTTGGGAAACTCTCATTAGTTTACCCAATGAAAATCCATATGTTGAGGGAATTTTCTTTATATTATATTTTTTTATTAATAAATGGTTGTAATTTATATCGCATGAAACAATATCCACAAAATTATTATTTACTTCATTATCGATCATATTTTCTAAAGTTTGGCATTTTTTATCAGATCTTTAAAAAAAAAATAAAAAATCCTCATTAGTATTATTTTATAGTTTTAGATGAATAAATAATATCAAAACACATACCCTATAACAAAATTAACTAAAATTGGTTTTTTATTAGATTTAATGGAGTTATACAGGGTATTTTTTGAAACTTTTGTAACATAATGTCTTATTTGTTGCATTTTTATTAATTATTAGTGAAAATATACAAAAATTATTTGAGTTATAAAAATAAACAAATAAATGATATAAAACAAATAAATTGAAAAAAAAAAAAATTAAAAATTAAAAAATTAAATTACTAATACGGGGGTAAATTAAAAAAAATAAATTAAAAATAAATTTAAAAAGTAACAAAAAAAAATGTAATTTTTTTTTTAAAGTTTTTTGTTTTATTTAAAAAAAAAAAAAATGGTTTTAATTGATTGATTTATTATTTCTTAAACATTTATTTATAGTGTGAGTCTTCTAATTTATTTAAAAATTCTTGAATATCTTTATTTGATAAGTTCTTTCCTTTTAATTCAGAGTTTATATTTCCTTTTGAGATTCCTAATATAGTTGGGAATTCTATATATTAAAAAAATATAGAGTTAAAAGGCTTTTAATATAATTTTAAAGTTTATTATTTTTTATTCCATACCTAAAACTTTAAATCTTTTTACAATATCATAGTCACGGTCAATATCAAGTTTGACTAAGGTTAAATTTCCTTTATGATTTTTTACTACATTTTCTAAATGAGGGTTATATCTTTTTATTGGTAGATCCCATGATGGTTGAAATTCTACTACTACAGGTACCTCTGAATTATCAATGACCCTCATCAAATCATACTTGTTATTAATATTGCTTGAATTGTTTACTTGCTTATTTACTTTATTTCCTCTTTTTTTATTGTTTTTAATTGATCGAAGGAAACCTGAGGTATTTTGATTATTAAAGAATTTATTATATTTAAACATAGCTATTTATATTTATAAAGTAGAATGAAGTGTTATTTAAATTAATTAGCTGTTAATAATATTATGGTTTATTATATATGATGGTTTTATAAAAATTATTAAAATACAAATATAAAAAAAAAAAAAAAGAAAAAATTAATTTTAAAAAATAAAATTTATTTAAATGTATGTTTACCACACATTCACACACTTATAAAATAATTCTTTTCACAAATTATTGTTTTTAATTTTTCTATCTATTTATAATTGTAGATAATAAATTGTCAAAAATAATACAAGATATATTTTTCAAAAATATACAAACTAAATGTTTCCTAATTTATTTTATTTTATTATAATTGTTATTATTATTATTTATTTATTTATTTATTTATTTATTTATTTTTAGTTTTTATTTCTTAATTTCTAAATTGTTCTAAATATTTTTCGATATGTTTTGGTGGGATAGCACCAGTGAATTGGAAAACTGGTACACCATCTTGAAAACCAATAACATGTGGGATACTTGAAACATTATATCTTTCAGCTAAATTTGGTTCTTGATCGATATTAACTTTAACTAAATTAATTTTACCATTTTCCTCGACTGTTTTTTTTAATGGTCCTTCTAATGCTCTGCATGGTGGACACCAACTAATATTTTATTTTATATTTAAAATTATGTTAATATGAAAATAAAGATATTGATATAGACTATTTCACTGATACCCACTCTGCATAAAAATCGACAACGGTTGGTTTTGGTGATTTTAAAACAACAGATTCGAATGTATCTTTGGTAACATTGGTGGTAAATGAACGTCTACCAACCATTAATGGTGCTGATTTGGTTACAAAAGTTAAAGTTTTTAACATTTTATAATATATATATGTTTATTATATGTGTATGGGTGTGTTTGAAGTTAAGTGAAAAAATAAAAAAAGTAATTGTGAATTTAAAAAAAAATAAAATAAAATATTTTTTTTTTAATTTTTTTTTTTTTAATTTTTTTTTATTTTTTTTAATTCCTTTTATATTTTTTATTTTTTTTATTATTTTTAAATTAATTAAATTTTTTTTATTCATATCTATTTAATGAAAGGATTCAATACAGGTCATGGTACATTTTATGTAAATAGAGAAACTACGTGTCCTTTCTTATTACGTGTTTTCGTTACAAAAGGAGGTTCATTCCATAATGTAAATGAATTTTCTGGAAGAAGTAAGGTTCCAGAAAATGATGAAATTCAATTATATACATGGTTTGTATTATTTATTTTTGATTTATTATTCTCTGCAAAAATTGAATTAATTTTTTATATTTTCCAAAAACAGGAGAAATGCAACTTTAAAAGAAATTTCAAATTTAATTAAAGAATCATTTGAAGAAGCAAGAAATAAAGATTCAAAATTTGAATTTGCATTTATATTCCCAGACCAAAAAGGAATTTTTCAAATTAAACCAATTGGAACAATTTATTCAAATAAAAAAACCGATGATGATTTTCTAACATTGCATGAATTATCATTCAATCACCAATATTTAGATGTAATTTTAACAATTCCCTCAGTTTCAAAAACAGCTCTATCACCAACATTATCAAATTAATAAATAAAATAAAATGTATATTAAAACAACTTTAAAATATAAAAAAAATAAATAACCATTTTTATATTCATAATCTATGACCTCTCTATTTTTTAAAGTTTTTTTTTTAATTTTTTTAATTTTTTTTTTATTTTTTTGTTTTTTTTATTTTAAATTTTGTAAATTAAATTTAAATATACAAATACATTATAATATAATTTTTCCAAAAAATGATATCAGATAAATATGAAAAAGAATCGGACGACAAAAAAGAAAGAAATACCTACAATAATCGGTCAAAATTTAATCCGAGAGAAAATCACACAAATAGTGACAGAGCGCCATATGTTGAAAGAGATGATAGAAATTATAGAGATAAAAGGTCGAATGAAAATGATAGATATAGAGGAAGGGTCGAAAAGACGAATTTTAATAGATTTCATAATAACAATAAACCAAATAAATTAAATTTTAATAAAAGAGGCAAAAGTGATTTGGATCAAGGTTTAGTTTGGAGGCATGATAGATTTAATAATAGTAATAAAAATAACAATGATAACGATAATTATAATAATAATAGTAGCAATAATAATTATTATTATAACAAAGTAAATAATAGCTATAAGAATAATGTATGGCAATTTTTTTTTTTTTTTTTTTTTTTTTTTTTTATAATTCTAATGTTTTTTTTTTTAATTTAGAATAACAGTGGTGATAGAAACAATAAATATTATAACAAAAGAAATGATGACTATAAGGGTAACAACAGAAGGGGGTATTTTGATTATAGCTATGGAGACTGTAATAAAAGAGGAGATCATAAAAACAATAACTACGAAGAAGATGGTGCCATTTACAGCGATGAAGATTTAAGGAAAGATGACAAAAAGAGTCCACAAATCAACTATGAAGATGAAAAAGAATACTCCCAAATGAAAGATGATAATGAAGATGATGAAGTTGAAGAAGGAGAAATTTAAATAAAGCTATATTTTGTATTCTAAAAAAAATTCTATTGGTTTCTAATCGTTCTTTATTGATAAAAAGAAAATGTATTAATTTTTTCTTTTTTTTTTTTGTTTTTTTTTTTATCTTGTATTTTTTTTTTTTGACATATCCTTTTTTCTAACTAAATAATATAAAAAATAATAATAAAAGACCAAGCGCAAACATTAATCTTGAAATAAATATTGAGTCTTCGTTTGATAAATTCTATAAAATATTGGTGTTAGTAAAATTATATATTTTTTTTAAAAAGAAAAATAAATAAAACCTACATTTCTCTGGTTATTCCCATTATTATTACTATTTGTTCCGCTATTATTTACATTGCCATTATTACCGTTGCTATAAAAATGCACACCAAATAACCCAGGGAATAATCCAAATCCTGCTGAAAATGAAGTACCTCCTCCGCCACCCTGTCCAACTCCACTGCTCATACCAAATGGAGAAAAGAAATCATTAAATCCACTATTATCTCTATTTCTTTGTCTTGGTTGCTCTGGTCTACCTGGGGGTCTTTGTGGTATATTTGTTGTTTTCTTTCTTGGATCCTCATTTGATCCACCACGACCATAAATAGGAATAACCTTACTTTCTGAAACTGGACTTTTACAAACTGGACATTGTTGGTTTGCATTACGTTGGAGCCATTGGAAAATACATGACCAACTATACAAAATAGAAAGAGAATTAGTTTATTTAAAGATAGATTTATTGTAAATGTAAAGACTATATTTACCAAAACAAATGGCCACACTGAGTTACAACTGGTTCGGATACTTCGTCAAAACATATGTTACATTCAAATGCTGAATTTTGTGGTGGAGGTGGGGTTTGTGCTGGTTTATTTATATTATTACTGTTTTGAGTTGTATCCACTGTTGATGATGATGATGATGATTGAGACTCTATTGTTGGTGAGTCTGGAATAGTATCTGTTGTGGTGGTAGTAGTGGTCGTTGTAGTTGTTGTAGGGCTATTATTTTTACTTCTTGGTGAATTACCTGAATTTGAAAAATAAGACATGTCTTATAACTTCACGCTATGCTATATGAACAAATTAAATATAAATTATAGTTTTATAAAAAAAAAAATTAAAAATAAAAAAAAACTGTTATTATTTGTGTAAAAAAAAAAGAATAAATAATAATCTTAGTTTTGATATTTTATTTTCTTTGTATTATTAATATAAAAAAAAAAAAAATAAAAAAAAAAATTTAAAAAAAAAAAAATAAAATTTAAATAAATTAAAAAATAAAAAATTTAAAAAAATAAAAATAATATTTATGTATACTTATTTAATATAAGTTTTTTATTTTAAATAAAATATCCTTAAAGAGTATTTTTTTTTTTTTTTATAGTTATAATTATAAAAAAAATTAAATAGGATTTATTTAAAAGAATGCATTTGTTAACACTAAATTTTCTTTAAATTCAATGAATGAAATATCTTTTTGGTTTACCACACAAAATTGAATTGGTATATTTGTGTTGTTTATTACATTAATTGAATTCAATCTTGATATGTCGTTCATTGAGGGTACTGCCAAACCAAATTTAGAAATTGATAAATAAAAATCGGGTAAGCCCGGATCAGTCTTTTTGAAATGTGGTGATGGTTTATATATATCATAATCAATAGCAAATCTATCTTTATCAATATTTATACTTTGAAATTCTTGATCTGATAAAATTGATTTTGTTTTGAATATTTTTAATTTTCTATTAATTGAGTTAAGTGTTGATCCTGGGTAAATCTCCTCTGGTATATTAACAAGTGATGTTATTTTTAATTTTTTATTGTTGTTGTTGTTATTATTATTATTGTTATTATTTTCTGTATCTTTTCTTTTATTATTTACATTTGGGCTATTCTCTTGATCATCCAATTCTAATATATTATATTTTTCTAAAATTGAACTATTTTCATTTAAAACTGATTTTAATAAATACTTCTTGTTTGGTTAAATAAAAGTATC